ATTTGTGCAAGTCTAGTGTCTGAGTGACCTGGCAGATTGTGTTTTAAAAGTAAAATTACTAAATTGCGCTAAAGACAATTAAATATCTTGTAAAGAAGGTCCTAATGGCCAGTAACAGTTGAGAACTTAAACACTTTTCCAGTTCCCGAGGCTGTGATGATGTTACAAGCCACACCAGTCTGACTAGCTACATACTATGAGGATCAGTCACGACTCACATACGTTTTCCACCATTCCCCCTGCATTTGTCTTAAAGAAATACATTTCTTTGGCCGTGATATGGATTATTGTAATTTTATTCATAAATGCCACACATACTGAGTGAGTGAGTTTAGTTCTATGCCACTTCTCACAATATTCCAGCAATAAGATGGCATGGGACACCAGAAATGGGCTTCACACTTTGAATCCATGTGGGGAATTGAATCCAGGTCTTCAGGGTAGCGAGTAGACTAATGCTTATTCTCTGAATATATATAAGTTTGATAGTAACAAACAAGCCCATTTAAATTGAAAAGGAGACTAGAGATTCCTGAACCTGAGGAACTCTTGACTTGCTTTATTTAGGGCTTTAGCACTGTAGAGAGGGCAAGGCAGTAGGGGAAATAATGTGGTTCAGGGACTGTGAGGTGAGGTGAGGTGAAATTGGGTTTAACGTCCTGCTTGAGAATATTTTGCTCATATGACGACGTGCATGCATGTGTATGTGCGGCTGCTTATACTAGCCCAGACTTAAGCTGGTTTTATAGTGCTAGCCCACTGAGATACCATGCCGCAGTGAAGCATGAATACCCCACTCAGACACATTATACTGACCCCGAGCCGACCAGTCCTTGTTGTACCCATTAATGCCGGGCGCCAGGCAGGGACCAACAAGTACCATATTTTAACGTCTTTTTGGTATGACGTTATTGGGGATCGAACCCGCGACCTTCCGCTCTCAGGGCAGACGCTTTCAGGGGCTGTGAGACAGACTAGGTAGCGAGCAAAAGCATTAACCACAAGACTACCCCACCACACTCAATAACATTTCAGCTGTATACAACAGTCTGTAAATATCTGAATCTGGAGCACACAAACCAATGATTGACATCATGAGCATACATCAACATCCACCCATTTGGGATATGTCGAAATGCATCAGCAAGTCAGGGAGCCTGACCACTCAATCCCATTAGTGACCTCTTACAACAAGCATAGGGTGCTGAAGGTAGGCCTCTTGTCTTATCTGTTTATCTATAGGCAGCTGCAAAATGGCTGGATTACTGCTGACTGCACAGAAATACCACATTCACTCACTCACAAGGCTCCAGATAATTTTTCAACATGAGGAGTACGTACTCCTTATTTTATATATATAGGAGTACTGGAAAAACTTAAGAGTACATTGGGAGTACTGAATGGAATTTAATGGAGAATATAATCTTGTGTTTCTTTTTATATATGCACCACAACATTGCTACTCTTGTGTAAACAGGTAAAGAAACAATATAACAATACTTTTTTCAGATAAATACGTCTGTAAATGATTCTAAGACCGTACACCATTGCTGTGCTGCGTGTCTGCTACTGTTTCTAAATTATTTCCTACCGTATCGTGCATATTTTTTATCCGTACATACGCCCATAGGGCCCTTATCTGGAGCCCTGCACTCACCCCAATGTCATAAATACCAGTGTGAATGACTGACACACAGTCACAACAGACTGCCTGGGGGTTGTGTCAGACGCTCCTCGGGGTACAAATGACCACCATTTGTTAGTAATTTGGTTCCCCTTGCCTTATATCCCTGACATTACTCATTATTGTCACTGGTAGTGGTGCAAGTCCCCTGACCAGGGTTTGGCTGGACACTAAGTGCTGTGTCCTATACCATATTAAAGATACAAAGACTGACTGACTGAGTTTGGTTTTACGCCGCTTTTAGCAATATTCCAGCAACATCACGGCGGGGAACACCAGAAATGGGCTTCACACATTGTACCCATGCGGGGATTCGAACCCGGGTCTTCCGCATGGTGAGCCAACGCTTTAACCACTAGGCTACCCCACCACCCCAAAGATACAGAGAATATAAAATGAACATGATTTACATATTTGATCCTGGCAAACTCAAAACAGCTTGGTTCTTTGAATTATGAAAAGAATATGCATTGCAGGTTTATTTTCACACATATTTGGCATTCCTATTCTGGAAATAAATACACTCAATACTCAAAGTATCAGTGATAGATCATCTACAATGTAAGGCTAAAATCACCACTTATAATAAGCACATACATTTAAACTGTTTTAAGTCAAGCAAGCACATTTTACCAGACAAAATTTCATGCTTATAACGGAAAGTGAGTGAGTGAGTGAGTTTAGTTTTACGCCGCACTCAGCAATATTCCAGCTATATGGCGGGGGTCTATAAATAATCGAGTCTGAACCAGACAATACAGTGATCAACTGCATGAGCATCGATCTGCGCAATTGGGAACCGATGACTTGTGTCAACCAAGTCAGCAAGCCTGACCACCCGATCCCGTTAGTCGCCTCTTACGACAAGCATAGTCGCCTTTTGTAGCAAGCGTGGGTTGCTGAAGACCTATTCTACCCCGGATCTTAAGAGACCTATAACGGAAAGTCCCTGGACTCAAAATGGGATTGTGCTGGACAAAACCATGATGAAGTCAAGCATCCACAGAAACGTGAACTCTACATCAAAACTTTTCTTACTCGAGTTCTGAAACAAATACTAGATATCAAGGATATTGGGGAGCTCTTAAAAAAGCCAAAATGCAATCATTCACTAGTATGCAAGGCTTTATCCAAATTCCCTCTTGAATTGCTGTAATTTAAATAACCCAGCATTAGATTTGTTTAAGCATGTTAAATGGAATCATTGAATCAATATGGCAACAATATCAAACTGATATAACAATCAATAACATTTTAAATGAGAATTCACAAAACAAGCACTGATCCTTTAAGAAACAATTGTATTGTACTGGGGTATACGCTTACTGACAATCAATTATGAAAGAATTCACATAGCCATTATTTCTTCAAACCCAATCACTCAGTGTAACTAGTCATGTAGAACAGCTCTAAAGGACCTAAACAAAACCCATTATACTAAATTTATAATGATGCATATCAAGTCTATTGCCATAGCAAATTAATTTTAAATCAATACAATTAATAGTAACATTAACAAGCATATTCCAAATGCATCCATCTGAGCTTGCATATCTTAATCTGACATAATGTCAATGATATCTGGTACATTCAAAAACACCAACAAATCAAGATTATTGGAAAAGAAAACCTGTGACATCAAAACCAGACTCTTCATATCAGATGACGTAATCACACACATCTAATTGAAATACAACCGTGGTTATAAATAAAATCACACACCAAATCAGCTATTAGGGTAAATGTTTGCTTTTAATACAATTCAGGCATCTTGATCCTGTAATGAATTTGATAAATCATGTTTAAGCTATCTAAAGCTCTTTTCAAAACAAAATGACATCAAATCATCTTCAGCCATGATAGTGCTGTGGATGTTCAAGATACGAGTACTGAACATGTGTCAGACATAGACCATGATGTCACAATGAGTAACCCATCTTGTTTCCAGGTTGTGCTGACATTATGTAACTCTACTTACAAAGGATAAGATTTCTATTATTACTGTACCAGGTTTGTGATAATACATTGATAAGGAATTAGCAACTGTTTATATAAGCACTTGTAACCCGGGCCTCTGACTAAATAATTTAGAAAAATCCTTTCACATTATCATTAATAGTGAATGAAGATGATCAATGGCGCTAAATATAGCTAAGCTGTTCAAGTTGTATCCATAATGCAAATATAAGTTAGTACATAGCTTAACAGATGAATGGAGAGTGTACGAAGAACTTCTTGTGATGCTTTACGTTTCACATTAAAATATGCACAAAAAAACTCATTCATTTTTTGCAAAAGGTGCAAGGTGTCATTTTTGTATATGAATTCTAACATTAATTTTATCTGTGTTACGTCCGATTAAATCTGAAAGCTTATCGTTGGCTTCGAGAGAGTCTGTCTCACAGTTACTGAACCACATTAGTTTCTCTTCCACCCAGCCCTTTCTGCAACTATGGATCTTCATGAAGCAAGTCTAGATTTTCTCAGGTTCTGAATCTCCAATCTCTCTGGGACTACTTTTCAGAATAAATGCAATTATTTGTTTCTATCAAAATTATATATATATATATTTATATACACATCTACATATCATTAGTCTAGCTTGGAAATAGTTCGAGACAGCTGTGTCTATAAGAGGGAGCTGACTTGGTTAAATGTTTAAGTCAATAACTGACTTTCCCTGAGGAAGTGTGTTGCTGTCATTTTCTTGACAGCCATCTTCTGCTGGCTTCGATCAAAAAACGTATAATTCTCATTTCGTAGTTTTAGAATCATCATGGAATGTTATAGTAGTGCACATTCTCGATGAGAAGGGTGTCATTACTGCACAGCGTCTTCTATGTCTAGCTTGTGCATGAAATAAATTCATTATCCGTACCACACACATGGGTACCAACGAAAGCAAATTCTGTTGGTCACAAATGCAACATTGTGTTACACGTTGAACGTTGAACAATCTAGACGGTGTGAAATCACTCCCGGTATTTAACACCTATGGTTATATACTATGCTTGTAACATGCTTCGTTCCCATTTAACCCTTTAGTACAATAAACAGAGGTCAAAGGGTTAATTGGCAAGTGATCACAGGAAATGCTCGAAGCCGGTACGGTCGCTTTGTTTGTAATATTAACACTTTTATAACTGGAAAAACATGCAATTAAGATCGTTGATTGAAACTGTGGTAGTAAATAAACAATACGAATAACCTGCCGCAATCAACATGCAATAACGTATTATTGAATAGTACACCGCAAGTCAGTAGAGCGAGACAGTAGCGTTAGAAGACCCAGCTGTCGAGGTCTGAGTTAACTCACCCTCATATCGTTGATAACCGCTTGGAAAAGACCGCCAAGGGCACTGCAGTCTTTCTCAACACTTATATTTCCATCCATGGTGAGCTTCTGTGTAGTGACAGAATTTCCGGGCGATGATAATTATTCCACTGACTTTTCGTCTGAAATTTGAAGATTCAGTACAGGATATCTTCTACCCTGACAATGAATGGAAGGTTGCACGAGTGCTCTATCAGACTAACAAATAGGCCGCCCCTCTTCGTATAATCCACTAGAAATATTATCCAGCACTAGACACAATGTACACAAGTTCTCCTGAAATATCCATCGTCGATCGCATAACTGCACATTATGACGTTCTGTCAAAACTCAGCAAAATCCCAACTACCGTCAGTACACTCCTTTCGCCATCATGCGGGTTTGTGAACATGGCGAGAGCTGCTTCCTTTGGAGTCACGTGACTTGAGCGCGCTTGCTGATTGGGTTTCGGTTTGTGTAGGGTTGGCGAATTCGTATCGGTTATGCTGTGGTGCAGAATATCGCTTTATTACCATTAGCATATATAAAACCATAAAGTAATTGATTTCAGTGATACCGGTGAATCGTATTCTCTTTAAAGTTTGCCAATAATATAGGTGAATTGGACGATACTGGATCGCTATCATCGAATATACATCAAGCCATTTTATCTACTTCCTCTCAATCGACGAATTAAACTGATAAATGTTTATGATATAATATCTATAAACAATGGAGGGATAATCAGCAGATTATGAATAACATTAATAAATACTGAATAATATCGTGACACAGAATGAACTTTACTTTTCGACTCTGTCCATATGATTTTATTGACATATGTATACAGTGTTTTGTGGTAGATTTTCTTAATTATTACTTTAGCATCATGATAAAGTTTAATCGACATTAAAATTTATATTTCTCATTTCTTCTCCGTTGTCAAATATTCGTCTTAACGATTTCAGTCGAAACAAACAAATATTTATACTTATGTGTTTTGTTTATGGCATTCGTGGGTTTTCTTTATACCAATATTTTCTTCAAAGAAAAACAACTTGTTTAACGACAAACCTATTTCAGATTCGTGATAAGAATACAATGTCATGGATAGATATAGTCCGAGTCAATGTGTCCGTGTATTTAACATTGACTTTATCACGCGCTGAACTGAGCAGAATACTAATCACTGGCACCAGTCACAAACATATCCTCCATTTTGGCACGTGCCCCATATATAACTGCTGTCAAATCTAGTACACAATGAACCAGTGTGTGTTTGGAAATAACACATTGTGCCGCACCAAATTTGATAGATAGGAGGTCTCATTAACAGCTCCCTTACAAACGTCCAGTGACTTGATCCCCGAGCCGTGTAGTTTAAATACCATTATACGCCCGTTGTAGACTATTTTCATATTCACCCGGCACCACTTTGGAACCTCGTGGAAATCCAGGTTAAAATTGGTCTTCAGCAACCCATGCTTGCGTGAGTCAACTAACGGGGTTGGCTGTTCTCACTCGTTGACTTGGTTGATGTAAGTCTACGTATCCTAATTGCGTAGATCAATGCTCATTATGTCAGTCACCGGATTGTCTGGTTCAGACTTGTCGTAACACACGCACGCATACGCACACGTACAACACACGTACACACACAACCCAATCCATCTCGCTGGAACATTGTCGACTGTGATGAACTAGATTAGATTGGACTGAGTGAGTGAGTTTAGTTTTACGCCGCTTTTAGAAATATTCCAGCAATATCACGGCAGAGGACACCAGAAATGGGCTTCACACATTGTACTCATGTTGAGAATCGAACCAGGGTCTTCCGCTTGAGTGAACGCCTTAACCACTAGGCTTCCCCACCGCCATAGATTAGTTTGGAGTAGTCAACTACGGTTATAACGAACTCAAAGATTACAACAAGATTATAGTACCTAATGGCCGTAGTTCATTATAAGCGATTCGATTTATTTATACAGCAAGTGATTGGGGGGAAAACCAGTTCGTTATATCCACCAATTCGTCACAAGCGTGTTCGTTGTAAACGTAGTTCGCTGTATGTGAAAGTGGTGCTGGAAATATAAGTGTGTGTGAAGGCGGTCTGCAAAGAATCGAGTCTGGACCAGACAATCCAGTGATCAACAGCATGAGCATCAATCTAAGCAACTGGGATACGATGACACGTGTCAACCAAGTCAGCAAGCCTCACCACCCGATACATACAATTCGTGGCCCCCAAAATGAAGAGTAAACTGTTTCTCCCTTTAGCCTAAATTGGTATATATTATACGTAATAGTGAGTGAGTATGGTTTTACGCCGCTATTAGCAATATTCCAGCAACAGCACGGCAGGGGACACCATGCAGAAATTACACATTGTATCCCGGGGAATAGAACCCGGGACTTCAGCGTGACGAGCGAACGCTTTAACCACTAGGCTACCCCACCGCCCCTACGTAATGACATGGTCGTGACAAAATGCAAAAATAAATCGTATAGCGTAATGTTCCTCTAACATGTTCCAAGACACATGGTAGACTGCAATGTGTTTCCAAAGCTACTAATATATGGATCATTTGAATGAACCGAATACAAAACGTTTGTAACACGACCTTCAAATCGAGCATTCAACCACAGCTCGGAGTAAACAATCTTATCGACCTTTGTACATAGCTGAGCCAGTGGAGAAGTTATAGCTCTAAATCTGCTATAAAATTATTCCACTAACGAGTTTCAGCTTTACGAATGCGAGTCTTTAACCAACACACCCTCATAAAGCGCGGTCACACCCAACCTGCCCTTCTACATCAATAGCTAGGGTATAAAACAACGGGAGGTAATTCTGAACATTCGTGACTCGAGTTTCACAGCCCGGTGCTATTGCTTGGCGCCCGACAATAAAAGCATGCATATTCCACATCGTGAAAGTTTACGTCACAGTAAAGCCCCCACACCTTGTTCAACAGGTTTCTGTGTAGGTATAACGTATACATTGTATATTCTTACTTATCAGTACAATGCGTGATATGAATATGTCGACGAACCCATCCCGCAGTACAAGTGATATATATATATATATAAAACGGCGGTACACTTTCTGCACGGAGAAGTTATGCAGAATATACACTCCTAGGGGAGTGATGTTAATTTAGTTGGGTAGGTATGTTGACATACATGTGGGCGGCGAATAATGCCCGACTTTCTTCAAAATCTGAACTAAAACGTTTATACGTTGATATTAGTGTGTCAATGTCAGTAGGGGCGGTGGGGTAGCCTAATGGTTAAAGCGTTGTCTCGTCACGCCGAAGACCCGGGTTCGATTCCCCACATGGGTACAATGTGTGAAGCCCATTTCTGGTGTCCCCCGCCGTGATGTTGCTGGAATATTGCTAAAAGCGGCGTTAAACCAAACTCAGTGAGTCAGTCAGTCAATGTCAGTAGTTATCCATGGCTCTATAATCATTTTGCAAGATCATCATTGGATTGCTATTCGAGGGTTTATACACCTTGTTTATCTCGAATGCATGTTAGTCAGCCTCAAAGGTAACTTTGTTGTTTAACACCAAACTCAGCAATGTTCCAACTATATGAGGACGATTAGTAAATAATCGAGTCAGGGCTAGATAATCCAGTGATCAACAGCTTGTGCATCATGATACGCAATTGGGATACGATGGTTCAATCAAGTCAGTGAACCTGACCACCCAATCCCGTTAGCTGCCTCTTACGACATATATGGATTGCTCAAGGCAGATTCTAACCCGGATCTTCACAGGTCCCTTGTAATGGGCCTGATGCCTTCATAAAAAAAAAGGGATTGAATTGAATTGGCTGGTGTCATTGGTAATGTTTGTGTGATGTCACACATAATAACTGTAGTTTCATTGGTAATGTATGCACCCGTGAAGATGCTGTGAAGGACTATCATATACAGCTATATCAGTCACACTACCGTCTCATCCCACCGGGTGCCCATTCACAGAGCAGAGGCATATTTGAAACAAAGTCTCTTGCTTAATTATACACCACGTATAAACCAAAGCCCTCAGAACTCTTAACCCTTAAGAATATAATTAGAATTGGTTTTCAGTAACCCATGCTTGTCGTAGGAGGCGACTAACGGGATCGGGTGGTCAGGTTCACTGACTTGGTTGACATATGTCTTCGTATCCCATTTGTGTAGATCGATGCTCATGCTGTTGATCACTGGATTGTCTGGTCCAGACTCGAGTAGTTACAGACCGCCGGAATATTGTTGATTGTGGCGTTAAACAATAAACAAACAACACGTGATAATACCTGTGCGTCTTCATTGGCAATACAGGTGTAGCTTTTACAACAAATTACTTGGGTCTTTTAGCATCACAGTTTCACCGTTGTCTTAAATGAACATTGTTTCGTTCGGCGTGTTCATTTAGTGTCAGTCCACCTAGGTATTATCGCTGAAGGGGTCGTTGTCGGCACGGGTACTACAGATATGTACCTTGGCCATAATAAGAATACAGACACGTACCCTAGGACGATTCCATTCCCATCGTGTCGTATTCTTGACCGGAACTGTCATACTGTTGTATTAGATAATTTGATTGCGTTATGTAAGTAATGTGAATACACAGTAACGGATATTTCGCGATGCACATGAATACCATTCGGAATCAGTTGAACGGGAACAAGTACATACGGTTTCGGTTTTGGATTGCGGAATATGGACTCGTCCACCTTTAAGGGTACCGGGTACGTTTCTGTATTTTGACTTTGTTTAGGGTAAATATCTGTATACATAAACGTACCTGGGGTACGTATCTGTAGTACCTGTGCCGACAACGACCTCTTCAGCAGTATTATCCTTACAGATACAAGGCAACTGGTCAAGTTTCTGAACCAAAGTTCAAGAAAGCATCCAGCCGTTTATATTCATTAAAACTGGTATTGCAGAAAGAAGAAAGAAACTCATTTTTATATCAATGTGGAATAAAATATCAGTACCACATGACTAGTTATGTAAGAAAAGCGGAAATGTCGAATCTAAATAATTATTAGTTCGGTCAGTTTAGCACGCAGGTGCCAGGATGGACTTCCGGTTGACCTGTTGACCCTTAGAACCCTGGGACCATTCCGTCTGGCGAGCGGATGAAGTCCAGAGATTTATATGGCGCGACATCCGTAAATTAGATCTGCTGATAAGAAAGAACCATACATTGATCTCTTTATTCTTTGCCGGTATAATAAATTATAGATAATTATCACAAGATGCCTCAGAACGTTTGCAATGGAGTGAATCTCTTTATGCTTCTAATGAGTGAGTGAGTTGGGTTTGATGACTATTATGATGGTATATGTCATGTCAGTATTAGAGGCACTTCATCCATATCTCCTCGCTGTTTCTTTAAAGAGTTATTGTAATGTGT